GCAATACTCCTGTCGTGTGTCTTTGGCTTTTTTGGCTGTTTTGTTGTCGAGTTTATAACTTCATTGAAATTATTCAGAAACCTGCGATCGACTAGCATGGGAACAGTAGTTGCACAGAAAACTGTTTAACTCTATGTACGACTAATATCGAATACTACCTCATCATTACTATGTTCGTTCATCTCTTGTATCGCTCTAACCTTCCGATTTCTACGAATATCATATAACCAACTGTGGTTTCCCATACTGAACTCTCTGTCACCTAATGCTTCTATTCATATCGCACCCTGCAATAGTCAACGACGTTGTTTCAGCACCGGTCGGTGACAATATTCACTCCTCACAGCCTTTAAACCCTAAAGTAATAAAACCTCGACAAAACTGCGACACTTCTATAATGTCAAGATATTAATAGTGCTTAGGCAGACTAATATGTAACAGCCCTACCCAACACGTCCGAACCTACGACCTAGCCAGCAGCCACGCCTACGACATTAAATCTCTATGCGTCGTGCAATAAATGACTATTTCATGCAGCTAACTTTGAGACCAACCATAGTGAAAGGAGACCGAGGAAACCCAAGAAACAGCTGGTGATCTGTTGAGCTTCAACTGAATAAAACAAGATCAACATGAAAGGAGATAAAGAAGACGACGCAACACCAATCATACTGAATGACAGTAGAAGCTAAAGGGTTTACGCCAGGTAATGTGCAATCAAGATGAGGTGAAATCATTCTTAATACGCTCTTGATGAAATATATAACAGGAGACAAAGATATCCATGATCAGGCGTGCGTATTTAATTTACAATCACCTTATAAATGGGATAACTATATGCCTAGTGAATTTTATTAACTAAAGAAAAAACACATGAATACATACAGACGGGATCAATGTTCGACTACACACGTCACAGCAATCTATCGTGTTTTGTTTGTGGCTGCCCCGGCGGTGAATATACATATATATATATATCAGTTCACCGCCGGAACAGTATTATAATATATTATATATTATAGTATTCGGCGGTGAAATGACGATGGGGTGACAATTCGCAAACGGAGCCGGCATGACTTACGTATTGAACGGCCCGCATACATCCGGGGATGGACTTGATGTATTCGGTGTTGTAGCCGTACTTGATGACGTCGCGCACCGTCACCGTGCCGTCAGCGGCTGTACTCAGTACGGTCCTCGTCGTTGTCACCGTGACGCGTGCGTACGATTCCGTCATCGCGCCACGCCTCACATGCGACGACGCTCACTCACCGCCGACGATTCCACCGTAGCGCCACGCCTCACATGCGACGACGCTCACTCACCGCCGACGATTCCACCGTAGCGCCGGGAAAACGCGCGATACTCGAATACGAGCACGATCAAGCAATGTTTATCACGAATAGGTGTCGAAAATTTGGCAATTACGAATGTGGATAAACGCGTTCCTTCGCTCGCAATTGATCGGACTTTGATACCTACTACGCAGAGGCACCTGGCGGCTTTGATAGGTCTGAATCATTAGAACCGACTGCGCGCGACATTAGTGAACGCCTATAGTTGGCAAATATTTGCGTACGTCCATGTTATGATATCGAGTGATAACAATGATTAATCATGCATTTGTAGGATCGCATGAAGCAACGACACCAGCTAAGTAACACAGCTACGCGGACAATAAAATATAAAGCCACTGTTTTATCAAAAACTCGAACTGTATTCATATATTTAATTAAGTTTCATGAGAAGAACATTAAAGATATACATTATGTGTGTGTATATATATATAGCAATTGAAAATGCAACAACAATGATTACACATAATATGCGTAGGAGAGCTGCGGGCAATGAACATGTAGGAACACCAAATACAGCCCGAGTAATAATGACGTCACCTGCAGTAGCGGCTAATCACAGCAAGGGGAATAGTGAGGTCACCTTCAACAGCCAACAAAACCATGCGACGCAATGAGATGCCATAACTCTACTTATATATACTGTGCATCTTTTCCACTACGAATTCCACATTTAACGCTTCATATGAATTAGGAATCATCGTGGGAGGCGTCGCCATGTTTCCCCCTAAACACCTTACCTCATATCTACATTTATATATATATAATGTGCCCATAAACCCAAGACAGCTAAATTAACGCTACAACATCTCTACGTATCACCATTACGATCTGTCGCCATCTCTTCGTCCCTGTTGCTCTCGCTCTTGTTCTTACTTCGTTCTCTCTCTCTCACACACACACACACACACTCGCTCTCTTGCTTTTTCTCTGTCTCTCTCACCCGTCTTTTTCGCTCTGCACGACTCACTTTTTCTCCCCACCCCCTTCTCCCTCCCTCTCTCTTCCGCTCTTCCTCTTCCCCGCGCTCCCCTCTCTCTCCCGCTCTTCCTCTCCCCCGCGCTCCCCTCTCTCTCCCGCTCCCTTTCTCTCTCTCTCTTCTCTTCTCTTCTCTCTTTCTTCTCTTTTGCGAACACGCACGCACGCACGCACGCACGCACGCGCGCACACAGGCACAACCGACTTCGTTGTCAACGACCGTAAATTAACAATAACAACAAACTAACTGCCGCTGTGCGCATGTCATCCCACATTAATCGCCCCGACTTCTGAACTGTCACGAAAGGGCTTTAACGCAAGATTTAACACAAAATTTAGCACCAAAGGTTTTTCATCCTTTTGCGTAAATAATGTATAGTGTAGCAACGGTGCGCCTTCGAGTGAGCCCTAGCTAAATATGGAAACGTTTTTATTAATTCATTTTACAATTATTACAGCTATACTATTTCCTGTTGCGGTCAGCCTACTGTAGCAGACATTTGGTGCAGACACTTGGTAGTAGACTCAATGGTATAGAAGTCACCGCCACGCAGCCCACTACCTACAGTAGCGGCGGGCAGCATGCAGTCGTGATGAAGCTACTAAAAGCAGTCTATCTTTGGTTTGCAGGACAGATTCAGATTAAACGAATCTATAGTTAAATAAACCTCCTGTAGCATTCCTGTAGAAATCCCTGACTATAATTGCCTAACGATCGTCGGACGAGTGTGCGTTCCGCATGCAATCAGTTACCATAACCGATAGCCGCGCAAACATAGCTGCACACTTCTCTACAGTATGCGTAGCATGTCAATGCACAGACCACCTTAAACCCTTTCACAAAACGCTGGTTTCACTGGAACCGAACGCTGGGTGACACTACGTACAAAGAGACAGTCACACTGTCAATGCCTCGAAACGTAGCGAGCCACTGCCTGATGCATTGAACCACTGTGACATACAATTAGATACCACGGCACATAGCCTGCAAGCCACCTGCCCGAAATACAGTAACAATGAGACAAGGTGACACCGCGACACTGTGTCACCGAGACGTTGTCTCTCCCAAGCAAGGCTCTAAAATGTGACACTAATACGCAGCGAGACGCAGCAAGATGTGGAAACACGGACGATACTGTGGAGTGCAGTCCGATCATGTGAAGCAGCGTGACACACCGTTAGAGAGTGCAGCGCACAGCGTGACACACCGTTAGAAAGCGCAGCGCACAGCGTGACACACCGTTAGAGAGCGCAGCGCACAGCGTGACACACCGTTAGAGAGTGCAGCGCACAGCGTGACACACCGTTAGAGAGCGCAGCGCACAGCGTGACACACCGTTAGCGAGCGCAGCGCACATGGTGACACACCGTTAGAGAGTGCAGCGCACATGGTGACACACCGTTAGAGAGCGCAGCGTGTGCATCCCTGTGCGCTGCACTCTCTAACGGCTGTGTCAATCCTGTGCGCTGCCGCGCTCGAACGTCTGTGTCACCATGTGCGCTGCGCTCTCTAACGGCTGTGTCAACCATTGCGCTGCACTCGCTAACGCGTGTGTCATCCTGTGCGCTAGCAGCTCTCTAACGGTGTCGTCGCCTGTGCGCTGCCGCTCTCTAAGGTGGCACCATCGTCCCTGCACTCTCTAACGCGTGTGGTCACCATGTGCCGCGGCGCCGCTCTACGGTGCTGTCACCATGTTGCGCTGCACTCGCTAACGGTGTGTCACCATGTGCGCTGCCACTCGTGCTAACGGTGTCCTCACCCATGTGCGCTGCACTCTCTAACGGTGGTCACCATGTGCGCTGCGCTTTCAACGGTGTGGGGTCCCCCAAACCCAGGCGCTGCACTCTCTAACGTGTTCACATGCTGCGCTGCCGCTCTCTAACGGTGGGGTCACGCTGTGGCTGCGCTCTCTAACGGTGTGTCACGCGGTGACCGCATGCGCTTCTCTAACGGTGTGTCATCCCTCTAGGCCTGCAGCTCCTCTAACGCGTGTGTCACGCTGTGCGGCTTGCTCTCTAACGTGGGGGGGGCGGCACACGCGACCCACCCCGTGGCGCTCGTGTCACCTTCTAGGCTGCCACTTCGTAACGGTGTGGTCACCCATTGCTGCGCTTCACTCTCTAACGCGCTGTGCTCACCATGTGCGCTCGCGCTCGTCAACGGTGTGTCACCATGTGCGCTGCGCCTCCCTCCTAACGGGTGTCACATAATTGGTGTGCCGCTGCGCTCTCTAACGAGTGTGTCAACCATGTGCCGGCTGCGCCTCGTCGTAACGGGCTGTCACCGATGGCCGCATGCACTCTCTGAACGGTGTGGTCACCGAGGTGCGCTGCCGCTCTCTAACGTGGTCACCAGGGCGCGCACTCTCTAACGGGGGGTCACCATGTCGCTGCGCCTCGTCTAACGGTCCGTCACCATGTGCGCTGGCGCTCTAACGGTGTGTCACCGATATGCGCTGCACTCTCTAAAACAAAAAAAAAAAAAACGGTGTGATTCACCATGTGCCCGCGTGCGCTCTCAACGGTGGTACGCTGTGCGCTGCGCTCTCTAACAGTGTCACGCTGTGCCTGCCGCTCTCTACGGTCTGTCACTTCTAGGCTGCACCTCTAACGGTGGGTCACGCTGTGCCGCTGGCACTCTCTAACGCGTGTGTCACCGCCCTAGCG